GACCATCCTGCTACAGTATTATATGTCCTCCAACACATGTATTTTAAAAGGAGTCTTAACCTGGGATTTTTACTACATTGGCTGTAAAATAATACACGTACTGTAAATTTTCAGAGGAATGGCAGTGGAGTGATTAGTTTGGCTCTCTCTTTGGCAAGTCATTCTTTCTCTCACATCTGTCCATAACCTTGTGGTAATTAAGAGGAAAGGAATATAGGCTGACTAGTAATTGAAAATGGGATTTATTTCCAGCTGGTTCTCTGTTTCATTAGATATCTCCACAAGTCCCTCATATGGTAAATATTACCTATATGAAAACTTTGAATATACACAGCTGATGCACTGCCTAATGAAGAAAGGTGCACAGATGTTCAGTGACAGGGATCTCTGCTTTACTGCTCTTTGTCACGACTCGTGGTCAGCAAGGTGCTATTCAATAGATGAACAGCTCAGATATTAGCTGCTCCTTCATAGAACGAAAATGTTGGTCCAGTTTCAAGCAATTATCTCATTTAATTGGTGTGGTTTGCAACACTGATCTGCTAAAGACACTAGTTGAGTAATTCTAATTTGGGAATAATAAGGTACTTCCCCCATGAGTGTTATTTTCTAGAGTATTATTTGCCGTAGACTCACAAATCTGTTTCACATTTTTATGTGACTCAAATGGGTGGAAGTAAAGTTACAACAGCAAAGGGACACAGCCTAATACAAAATATAACACACATTATCAGATCACCATGTGTGCAGTACAAGACAAGGGTCAAAAGTCTATTCCTGAGTGACTAATTTAGCCAGGAATACAGTTAATCCAGCTTTGTTAGGATAAAGTTTTCCTTTCTCTAACATGGGCAGGCACACAACCTACCATATTTCACAAGGGTTTCTGAAGCATGGCCAGGCTTCATAAAATGCATGAAAGCTGTCAAATGGAAGGACCTGGCAACTGGTTAAAGACACAAAACAAACTACATCATTCACTAATATTCCACGTGATCCACCTTTTCCCTTCAGCTTTCTGATTCAGTTTCCTTACAGATGATTGGCCAGGAAGCTAAGCCACACAGGCAAAACAGCCTGCAGACATGGGATGCTTACCTAACTCAAGCAAGCAGAATCCAGCCTTGTGTGCTGGCACCAAGATGACACAAGAGAGTCAATTCCTGTCACTGACTCACTGTTGGCTCATGCATAGTACAAAACGTATTGTTTGGAAGAAGGCTGGATCAGAGTTGTCTGCTCCATGACACATAGGTTTGTTAACTTCTCCAGGAGGGTACAATTAGAGACAGAGCTGATCCTGACCTTATCTTGTACCACCAACCATGTGGAGTTTTTTTAACAGTGTCAAAGATTATGCCATTATGACAACAGCAGGAAGGCTTCAAACTTTTTGATATCCCTTGCAAATCAAGATAATAACCACTAGTATGAGCTGATATATAACAATCTGGAGAGGCGATTACACAGGCACAGAACCTCAAGGTGTTCACGCATTGAAGGCTGCAACCCACAAGATCTGAAACATCAACTGAGGCTGCCCTACAGGGGGGACTGTCAGCAATGTGGTGCTGAGCTTTAAATGGCAATGCCTACTTCAGTCTGGTGAAACCACCACTGCAAGAGGCCCTTCATCTGTTCACTAAACAGATGTTCTGGCTGCAGAGAAAGCTTCTGCTTCTCCTAGAAGCTGTCCACAAGCTGCGTGCCTGCTCTGTGGAAATTGGCCTCTCCAGGTAACAAAATTCTGCTTCCACATCCATCCAACTACTAATTCAACCCAAAAGCCAGAAACTGAGTAAATTAAGAGAATGAAAACAATTGGCCTCTTCAAAAAGGATCATGAACCAAGCCTCATTGTACATAAGGTGTTCAACGCTTCCAAGTAGCAAGAAATTCTGGTCATGGGTAGCTTGCCGTAGCTTGTCGTAGCTTGTGATGAAAGCTTAACGTATCTCCACAGTCCCTAATGGACAAAAATCTTCTCCCAAGGGCAGGTAAGCAGAACATCCAAAACCTTGCAGCAATTTCACCATCCACCAGCGTTAAATCCAGGAAAGAGATTATTCTCTTTCATTTCCTTCTCTTCAGTGTAAGGTACTTTCCTCTCCCTACAAGCATTTTCTAACATATTTTTGTTCCCTGCAGTAATCTCTACTTAATTTTCTCACTTAAAGTTCCATGGGACTGCAGTACAGTGCGCTCTAATGTTTGCCAAGTGTATGCTCAGCTACACCCTCTGTCAGCCCCTTCTGCAGCATTTCATGCCCAATGACAATATGATCTTTTTCACATGGCACATATGTCCTCCACTGACATATGCCCTTTGTTTATTCTGTTCCTTCTCCCTATGCACTCAGTGGGATCACCGTAAACTTATTTATTTCTCCTGCCAAACATTTAACTAGTCCAAGAAAGAGATACAGAAAGATTTCACAAAAAAAACCCCCACACCACTCCCAAAATAGACTTAATCCTTATGTTTGCTCTCCCTTTCACCAGACTCCCTGCTGGCAAAAATTCACATCCCTGTTAACTGGTATGCTTTTTTTGGCTGCTGGTATCTTGGGAACCTCTCAACAGCTGGCTTTTGTGCAAATCTATATCTGTATGATCTCATTATATTTTCATATATGGACATTTCCAGGATGAATGTGCTGAAGAATGCTTTCTCTGACAGTAATCAGTTATTGACTAACTTTTCTGAAGACAAACAAGTTTGTATTTTATTCTTTTAGCTCCTCTCAAATCTTCCGTCTTGTATTAAAAAATCTGCTTTGCAATTTAACCCTGACTTTTTCGTACTTCATGTTGCTAGTTGTCTTCATCTGTAGCTTCATTCTGAGTATTCATAAATAATAAAAGCCATTTTCAGTAATTATCCAAGATCATAAAAATTCTCAGGACAGGTAGTCCTACTGAAACCCAGAATCTCACTTGGCAGAAGTATTCTTTCTAGCTTCATTTTCCTGCAGTGGAGAAAACCTCACTCTTTTGTTTAACAGACCAGCTATGGCTAACACACCAGCACCTCACTATATTCAAACATAACACAATACATAAAAATAAGAAGCAAATGACTTGGAGAGACGGAACTGTTCCAGGAGCCCGAGGGCAATTTAGAAGGAACCTTGAGGAAATGTGCTGTAAAGGGGGTGAGTGACCTCAGCAGAGGTAGTCTGGAATGGAAATGGCATTATTATTTTTTTATAACATGTTGAAGGGAAAACTGATTCAATGAATGTTCATTGTTTTTTAACAGTATGGTATAAAGGACAGCATAGAGCATGCAGAAAAGCACCCACAAGCAGGCTCCCTTTGCAATATAGAGAATGCATCAGGTGAGTCTGCTTAAGAAAGGACAAAGGTAAAGGATAAACACATTCAGAAAACTGCAGCCAACTATTAATAAGCATTCTTCTTCTGCCCTTCAGTGCCCTCTCACCAAAGCACACACAACATGCAGATAATGTCTCACTTCAAAAATCAGAGCCTACCATGCCATCATCTCATAATCAAACACAGAATAAAAGAGAGCAGACTCACTGTTACCTGTCACAGTTCCTTGCTAAAAAATCTACTTATAACAAAATTAAAATTTCATAGAATCAGACTCATTAAGGTTGGAAAATACCTCTATGATAAATTTTCAGCTGGAATGATCAGACTTAAGAATCTGTAAAACTTGCAGTATTGCTACGTAGTGCTTTAAGCCAAAACACACAGAAAAACAGTGCCACTCTAACTCTCACAGCCAATTTCATTTTGAGGTTGTTCTGTGCCTTGTTTTGCTCATGCCTCAAAGTTACCTGTTAAATACCAATCACAAAATCTTTATTAGTGAGGCTATTTTGCCTTATAACTGAATTTAGAATCTAACTTGATTTGGGAGTCAATGAGGATGGTTATACTTTGAACTGTATGACAGCACTTCTACAGGCTCATCCTCAGCTATCTTATTCAAATAATCTGATTTTCTGACTCCTAGAGGAAGTAAAGACTAAGGAAATCTGTTCTAGTTCAGAGGTTTTTATTTTCAATAGTTAGAACACTATTTTTCTGGACAACAGCCTCTAAGATTAAGTGGGACACCTTAACAGCCTTTCATCTTTTACTCACAATAGTTTGAAAACAAGGTAACTCAACTTAAATGAATATGAAGAATAATACTAGGAAAGAGATACCTTAAGTCACTGAACACTGATCTCGTGGGGTCAAAGACTGACATTTACCCAGTCATCACCCATGAACCCTCAAGACAAACAATTAACACTTACTTAAGATCCTCAAAAAGTCACAGACGTTGTCAGAATACCCTTGGCAGTGCTATTTTTGCAGGTGATGTTACCAAGTCTAACCTATTTCAAAAATCCACCAAACGGGAAATTGCTGAGACAACCCCTATGATACTGCCCAAGCACAAAGCACTGCAGACAGTTGCCACGTCCAATAACACCACCATGTGTTGTACTGCCCCAAAAGATGCTTCTGCAGTCTTCAAAATGAACGAATAATGGAAAAAACCCTGTAAGCTCACAAGATCTAGCGATACCGTGTTTTCCAGTGCTCCTGCTTTCCCTGCCCTAGATGAAATCCCACAGGGAAAGAAACATCCAGCACCCCACCCCTTCTTCCCCCTTTCTCCCTTCCTTTTCTTGCCCCACATGCTGTATTTACAGGATTCAAAGCCCTGCAAGCTCATTCCAGTTGCAGTCTGTGTAAATAAATACAAGGGTAAAAAAAAATAACTTTGGGGAGCTTGGACCACTGCCAGCTTGCCTGGGTAACTGGACTTCGCGTGGAGCTGGAAGGGTGTTTTTTAAAGGGAGGGAAGCAGAACAGAACAGCTCAAGAATCTTGGCTCAGCCGGGGCATATTTCCTCCTAACTCTGGCTAAACCTCCGCACGAACGGCTGGACGGAGGAGTCGATGCGAAGCCGGGGAGGGAGGCTGCAGGGCTCTACACCAGGACTGCAGTAGAGCTTGCAGAGGCTGAAACCATGCTTTTCCTTTGGGCACTGGCATTTATTTTAGCCCTGCAGGACCAAGATCTTTTAGGTAAGTGATTCCGAACTTGCAGAGCAGAAACTATAGCTTAACCATAGTGTGGGGTGGGAGTGGGTGGTAAAGAATTGCTCACTCTATGGATTTTATATGAAGGTGACACAGCTGTCTGCCAAATTTATGTGGGAATGTTGTTTTGAACAGGAAAAATTCAGGTTTTGTGCTGTTAAAGTCTGTCCCGGAGACATGTTGCTTTGGAGGAGAATTTTCACTTTTCACAGGAGATACTATCACCATATTTTCAGAAATTAAAAACCACATTGAGGTGCTGCAGCCAGTGCCTTGCATTTCCATAATTACTGTTCTAGCAGCCTCATTAACATACACACTAATACACTCAGAAGTTCTATCAAAGTTCAAGATGAATAGAGAAAGTTCGTCCTTTATTCAAACCCTTCTATTTAGATCTGCTGGTAACAGCACTACATTTTTTTCTCTTCTGCTTTGGATTACTTACTCATAAGATTTTGAGGCACAAAACGCCTTCTCCAAATGCCTCGGGGTGTATGAAGGATAAACACAGAATATCTGATAAGCTTGCATCTGAATTTTACTTTCATTGACAGCAGATTAGTGCTGGAATAATCTGTAATCACACTCTAGCTGACTGTGTGACTGAAAGCTATTCAACTTGGCTAGTTCAAGGTTTTATAGTCCCCAAGTAACCACAAACCTGGCTTCCCAGGCTGTTTGTATTATGTGTTTTCTGCTAGCTGAGGCCCAGCTTTATTTTTCCTCTGCTCTTAGTTTTTGACAACACACAATGTTTGTATTTTATGGCAGGGTAGTAAGTTTCCATTACAGTTGAAACATTTTCTGAAAAACTGTTAGTCCCTTCCGCCCCCAAGTCCCAGTCACTCCCCTCGTCCTGACTCCCTTCCACCCTACTGGCTTTGTAATGCTTATCAGCAATGTATTGAAATATCAATACCTCAGCAATGTTTTTGTTCATTCCCCCAAAAGTATGGTTTTAAGCTGACATAACTAGCAAATGTAGATAAAATGCAGCTAAATAGAATAGTACTTGAATAATAACCGCAGTGTGAACTAGTACCCAGTATCAAGACAAGTGGTTGCTACTCAGTCAGGGAATCTTTTTCAGTGTCTTAGTGGTGTACTTTATGTAGGATGGGAAATTTTGTGTTTGTCACAACCAAGGGAGTACCCTGGCTGGCTGACAGGCTTAAGAAAATCCATCCCCACTTTCCCTTTGCTGCCCTTGAGTTGGTGAGTCTAACTTATGATTCCCATACAGATCATCCCTTCCAAGCCCCCTGGATTCCTCTTAAAAATGGTTTGGAGTTGGCTAAAAGTAGAATTTATGGTTACATTCAGATGTTAATTGAACAACTTCATATTCATAGAGCTCAGCCTTCAAACAGCTCCAGAGGAGAAGAGACTGGCGCGGGAGCCCTTCTGGATGCTGCGGTGTACTCCTGCCTAGCAGCTGCTTCTTTGCTGTTGTCGCTGGGTTTGTTTGTGGGGTGCTCTGCCAAGTACAATGTAGGCTGGGGCACTGGAGCATCCAATACTCACCCCATTTAAACGCATTCTCATTCTTAAAAAAACATCTGGGCAAACTGCTTTGAGGGCTGCAATGCCCCAGCAGCGAAGCCTTTGCTGCATGGTTATGCATGGCAGAGAGGGGATCTGGAGATCTCAGGAAAACCAGTACCTGGCAAGCGGGCTGCTCCCACTGATACCCTCCGGCTGCCTGAGCGACCCCAAGGCTGAGCACGCTGCCAGGGAGGCAAAATAGAGCTCCCCTGGAGACATTGCTGCTCAATACTCCACACTGTGGCGTGATCTGTTAAATTTACTTTGGGTTTAACTACAAGTTAAAGTAAACCAGTGGTTTTCATCATCATTTAGATAACGTAATATGACTTAGAATATTTCAGATCCTCTGATATCCATGTGCAATATGAAAGCTGAGAAGATCTACAAGCTAGACCATTGACTAGAAGAGAAAAAAATCCCTTCAGAACAGCCTATTTCTGCCCAAAATTGACCGATTGCATTCTCACAGAACAGCATTTTGCCTCCAGGAGATTAAACTACTACATTGCAGAATTAAATGCATAAAGAAATTTGAGAGATGTCCTGTCTTAAACCAGACTTGAAGTCATATTTCTCTACTTACAAACTAGTAGTGGTTTAACCCATACCCCATACTACTGATAATTTCAGTCCTTATAGAAACCTTTAGCATTATTGTCTTCAATGTACAGACTGCAGTCTGTGCACTCATTTCTCTGCTCCAAGGAGGAAGGAGAAAGAAAGTTTGTCACAACAAAGCGTACCCAGATATAGGTGTGTTTCTCAAAACTAGAGACACCTGTAGGTAGGGATTCAGTACAGAATTGAGCCTCTTTACAGATTTTATATATCTGTAAAGTAGATTTTAAAAATTTTTGTATATCTGTAAACCTCCTTGTTTGTTATATTTAGTTAAGAGGAATTTATAAAGTTTTAGGGACTTTACAACCTCGATGTGTAAAGGAAAGATATAGGTGTGTTTCTCAAAACTAGAGACACCTGTAGGTAGGGATTCAGTACAGAATTGAGCCTCTTTACAGATTTTATATATCTGTAAAGTAGATTTTAAAAATTTTTGTATATCTGTAAACCTCCTTGTTTGTTATATTTAGTTAAGAGGAATTTATAAAGTTTTAGGGACTTTACAACCTCGATGTGTAAAGGAAATGTTAATATCAAACTCC